TCCGAGGTTACCGAGCGCCCTGGGGCGTCTGAAGGGGAAGAGCTGGCGCGTTCCGGGAAAAAATCAGGATTTTTATCCTCGAGTGCTCGGGTCTGGGGCATCGCCGGCGTCCGGGGGAGCTTTCCTGCAAACGCATCAGCGGTCGCAGAGCCGAGATAAACAGAACTGCTTAAAGCAGTCTAATAGGTTTATCCCTTGCAGATAAGGCTACGAGCCAGCTTCTGCTGGAGACGGACTGGGAATCCATCCTGCAGATCTGCGACATGATCCGTCAGGGAGATACCCAGTAAGTGCTCTTTGGCTTTTGGATGCGCTGCAAGCGCAGCTTTCCTTGTCTTCGCAAGGTGAAGCGTGAGGGTCTCGGACCCGTCAGCCTGCGGTAGCGCGCGTCTTCTTGCCCCCTTTCAGAAAAGCGTTGGAAAGGCAGTACGGTACGCCCTGATGTGTTGAGGTACTTCCCCGACCTCAGGAGTTGCAGGTTACTGTCTGGCCTGAAATCCTCAGAGAAACTCAAGCTTGAATGCGCTCGTTCCTTCTCTTCGCAGTTTGCCTCAGGGGAATCGCGTAGACCATGAGCTAACTGTACCCTTGTGTTAGGGTGGGGGTTAGCAGGTTATCGGCAGCAGGTGGAATCTCCCCTCGGATTCTTGATTACCTGAGGACGTGTACTCTCTTTCCTTACCCAGAGCAAAATATGCCGTCAGTGCTATCAAGAAGAAAGTCAATGACAAGAATCCCCACGTGGCACTCTACGCACTGGAGGTAACGTCAACCCAAACTGCGAGCACTGCAGGGGCCCAGCTCGCAGGCCAGGGATCTTCACGTCTTTTATAAGCCTGCCTCCTGGGCTGCGCAGTCTGCACGGCGTGCCCTGCCCTGCCCGGCAAGCGGCCGAGTCGCGGCTTGGAGTTTGCCTTCTCCTGGCTCTAGCACAGAGGTTTCATGACTGATCGGCAGGCCATGGTTTTCATTCTTTAATTCCATCTCAGAGTTAGACAGAGCTGGAACTTGAGACACTGTCCCTGGGGGTCTGTCTCTAAATAGCAGAGGTACAAAGGCCACCGTGCAGTTGAAGCGTAGCTAACTCTCCAGCGTGGCAATGTGGATTTCTCTGGCTTGACTGACACTGCCCTAATGCGACTCATTGCTTAAATAGTGCCCCTGTCTTGGTGTGCTGGCCGCAGTAACCTGTAATGTGTGCCGGGACGCATCGCGGGCCACAGAGAAGGAAGAAAGCGGCAGGCTAATATTGTCCTTTGCCCTTGCAGGTCATGGAGTCGGTGGTTAAAAACTGTGGCCAAACAGTCCACGATGAGGTGGCCAATAAACAGACTATGGAGGAACTGAAGGAAATACTAAAGGTGAATATATCGTGTTTTACTATTGTTTTTGAATGAGCTTGTAAGAGAAGCAGCAGCAGGAGAAAATGTGCGCATCCTCTCATTCCCTTTCTGTAAGGAACAGAAAGGAAACTGTTTGGAAACGCGTTTCAGAAAAGAGCAAACTGTGTGGCATGATGTGAAGGGATGAGTGTAGGGAGCTAAGGAGTGCCTGCTAGGGAGAGAAGGTGTCGTGAGAGCAAAGGTAATGTTTGGCTGTTCCGTGAAGTGGGGTAGGAGTATGCTGCAAAGGACTAGACCATGTCATGGTAAATGCTCCTGGGTGCAACGCTTTGCTTGGTTTGAGACAGCAAAGGAAAACAGAGATGGTGGTCTGGCAGTTGCACCAAGGACCTGAGCAGTGGTGAGGTGAATTCCCTCCCGTAGTACAGTATGAGACACACAGGAAGGTAAGCAGCAAGGTGAAAACTGGCAGAAGCTTCCTCTTTATCGTGGCCATTTCATTAGCCTGTGGAATTGTTTGAGGAGCTTTGCAGGATCTAGACCTGGCTGTTTTTAATGACAAGCTGTCACTTGCCGGTTTGAAACAACATGATGCCTGCAAGAGCTCCATGTGTCCTTGGACTGGAGACTTCCACAAGTGAAGTGGAAATGGGAACTTCTGTCTCCAGCTCCCAGACCCAGAACAGCAATGCCCAGACAAGAGCTTGTTAGAGTAGCGCTGTTCCGTCCTTACAGCCTCCGTCTTCTGCCAGAAATAGACGACCGGATGACCCAGATATTTGGTGAATGAGCTGTGCGAGTCCCATCATCTCGCACACCGTAGCAGGGTGTCTCTCTCCTGTCACCTTCCTGTTAGGGCTGACTCAGTCTCCATGCAGGATTTTCTGCTGAGATAGGAACACTGCCGCAATGTGATGGCCAGGTATAGTAGTGCAGCCAGTCCGAGTGCTGAGGAGATCAGATCAAGAGATTTTGTGGTTCTCTCCAGTCCTTGTCTGCCTCAGTAGTTTCATAACTGCTGCAGACCCATTCTCTTCCTACACTTGGAACTTTACTGCTTGTGAATGCCCAATGCTGGTAAAATGGTCTTAGTTCTGATGAGGTTCAAGGCTGTGACATTTGTGGAATGCAGGATTTTGCCAAATCTTCTAGAAGTTTGGAGCTCCAGGAATTGTCAGTAAGTCACACTGTGTGGGCTGAGCTCTCAGCTGAAATAGGAGCTTGACAATGCTCCTCCACTTCCCGGGGGATTTCTGGAGCAGCCGGTCAGGCGAATGTGTGATGACTTGGTCAGCTGATGACAGGGCTGCTCTCAGAGGCTGGCTGGGATAGGAACAGGCTTGCCAAGTTTCCTCCGGCTCCTTGAACTGTGATACAACCACCCCTGCCTCCAAAGGGCAGGCTTCCTAGCTCTCCTTACTGTGTCACATCCCGAGGTAGATTTGGGTATTCCTGGGCAGGAGTCTCGGGGCTGGAGGTGCTGACAGCCTGACACCGACACCCTCCAGCTGTGAGCTTGTGGTGCCCTGTCAGCGCTCGGGTGAGGCGGACTGTGCTGTTCTGCCCAGCTGGGTAGCTGTAGGTCCCGCAATTTTCTAAGTGCGGGATGAGCGACTCTTGTGAGATGTTGGGCAGGCCAGTGCTCGTGCCTGCCCTGGGGAGCGACTGTGCAAGTCCCTATGGGCATTTTCTCAAAGCATCGTAACCGTACCCCTTTTCAAGTTGGTCCGTGCTGCTCTGAAGGACATTTTCTTGTTCGTGCTGGAGGGGGGAAGTGGGGAAGCTGAAGGAGTAGGTAGTCCTTGCTGTGAATTGTCCTTATTGCAGCTTTCTGACAGCTCTTACCTTGCACAAGTACTCTAAAGTCTCTCTTCCCATGAATGGTATTTCTGGCTTCTCTTCTGGGGGATTCACACCATCCTTTGGGTTTCAGGGTCTTTCGCTCAGATTTTTTTTTTTTCCCTCCTCCCTTTCTGTGCAGAGGCAAGTGGAGACAAGTGTCCGCAGTAAGATCCTGTACCTTATCCAGGCCTGGGCTCACGCCTTCCGCAATGAGCCCAAGTACAAGGTGGTGCAGGACACCTATCAGATAATGAAGGTTGAAGGTGAGGACTCTGTGGGCAAAGGTGGGTGGACAATTGGCCAAGCAGCTCTGCTCTGGAGGAGCATGGCAGGAGAAGGAATGGGTGTCAGGACCCTGCCTGGTGTTAGCAAAATCTGGATTTGCAATACTGAGCATTTTCTTGGTGCCCGATACTTGATGAACCTCTTGGAGTGACTGAATCCCGCTACAGAGAGAGGACAGCCCCATTGTCCCAGGATCGGGGGCTGCCTTGCTCTGGGCCTCCAGCCCGGCTAGCAGCTAAGGGTTGGCAGTGAGACCTGAAAAGCAGGAGCTGCAAATGTTCTTCAGGAAAACTGGCAGCAAATCAGCGTGTCCTCTGGGAAGGGATTTACAGTCGGGTGGTTCCTTCCTCCCAGGCTTTCATTAATACCTCCAGGATGGGTCCAGGCTCCTGCTTTCTGACAGTGTCAGTATGGCACTTTCTCTCTTGTCCCGGGGATGGCAGCATTCCCTGTGAGGGAAAGGACGCGCTGCTGTCTCTGCCTCTTTCTGTGCGCCAGAACCTCCACAGGCAGTGGCAAAGCCTGGAGGTCCTGGTCCCCCGCTGAGCCGGTGTTGCCACACTCTTGCCGTTCAAGGGGTGAGACTCAAAGCTCTCTCTGCCCACGCAGTGGGCTTCTTTTCCCCCCATGCTGAGTTCAAGGTCTTGAGAAATAAGCCTTATCCAAAGGGCCCTGATGTCCCTTACAGGCGTGTAAGGGAAACCAATAGGGGATTGTCCTGTGCGTTCGAGAGCGTGGCTGAGAGCCCAGTACTTTGCAGACAGCAGCAAGAGCTGTGTGAGCATTGCCCTCTGGCCTCCTGCAGGAGGAAGATTGCTGTTAGTTGTGTCAGAGTAAGATAATGGTCAGGGCAGGCGTGCTGAGCTGGATCTGACGTGTGGCTGGGACCTACGGCACGAGGCTGTAGGCACCACGGCCTCCCTGTGCGGAGGAGCACTTTCACAACAGGACTCTGTCGCTTTTCCCGCAGGTCACGTGTTCCCGGAGTTCAAAGAGAGCGATGCCATGTTCGCTGCAGAAAGGGTGAGCTCTGCCAGTGGGGGGGAGTTGGCACTGCGGGACAGACCTTGCTCTCCTATCCCCTTCCTACTAAACCTTCAGTTCTTGCATTCCTCCATTTCACGCAGGTTAGAGACCTTGCTGGGTGCACACCCCTCCCAGCTGTCACATGGGCAGTTCTGGGGTGGTGTACAGCAATTTAGCCTAAAACTACCAGAGGGAGGGGAGACTTGACCAGGACAGGGAGTTAGTCTTATCGTACCCTACTCGGTGGCCTTCCAGCAGCATGGCAGCCTGAACATGGCAGCAGGGCATTGCTAAAGCGATTGTTGTGCAGACGCGTTCCTAGAAAATCTCTTGCTGACTGGGAAAGCATCACAGTCTCTAGTAACACGAGAGGAGATAACTTGCGGGGATTAATATTTCCTGTTGAGCTGCAAATGCTTCCAGTCTCCCCCATTCATGAGAGCGCCTTGGTTAGCCATAGGAGCTCCTGAAAGGCTCTGTGGAGACCCTCTCCTTGAGGCCCTCCTCCCCTCCTTACGCAAGTTTCCTTAACCCTTGACAGGCTCCAGACTGGGTCGATGCCGAGGAGTGTCACAGATGTCGAGTGCAGTTTGGCGTTGTGACGCGGAAGGTGGGTGCCGCTCCTGCCCCTCTGGGTTCCCTGGTCCTGCACAGCCCCCCAGGACTTGCAGGACTCCCTCAGCCTGCGTGGAAGCGTCAGGGCTGGACCGCGTTCCCTGGCCACTGGCAAGGAAGTGCCAGGAGTGTCTGAGCGATGTTGTCTAACGGTGAAGGAGTGTCTTGCTGCCGCACTGATGTCTCCCATCCTTTGCAGCATCATTGCAGGGCCTGCGGGCAGATTTTCTGTGGCAAATGCTCCTCCAAGTATTCCACCATCCCCAAGTTCGGAATTGAGAAGGAAGTGAGAGTCTGTGAGCCCTGTTACGAGCATCTCAACAAGTCAGTACCCTTTATGGTGTGTTTCTTTGCCTGCAACAGCTGGGACTGCGAGGGGAGAAGCTTGGCGCGGAGCCACCTTTCTGCAGACCAGAGCGAGGGTTTCCCAAGCTGTGCAGGCTGGGCTGGGTTCCCTTCCTTCCTGGGAACGGGGTTTACAGCTGTAGTGTTGCGCAGAGCTGGGGCTCTAGTGCGGAGGAAGGAGCATTCAGTCTGCACTGTCGCCTCTTTCTGACTACAGGAAAGCTGAGGGTAAAGCTGCTGCCACCTCTGAACTGCCCCCCGAGTACCTGACCAGCCCTCTCTCTCAGCAGTCCCAGGTGAGTGGCTGCCCTGTAGGTGATCTAGTGATCCTGACCTGCTTGTTGATCCCTTTACTGAGCACCTCCTCATCTTTCTGCTTGCAGCTGCCTCCAAAGCGTGATGAGACGGCTCTGCAAGAGGAGGAGGAGCTCCAGCTAGCTATTGCCTTGTCTCAGTCAGAGGCCGAGGAGAAGGAGAGAATGGTTTGTGCCCTGCTTGGCATCTGGGAGTGGTTGTTGCCATACAGCCCAGATGTGCTGGGCATCTCCTAGCTGTGCGGTAACAGATCTCTAGGCATGTCCTGGTGTGAGGGAGTCGCAGGGCCTGTGGAACGAGAGGGTGAAAGCGGAGCCAGGCACATGCTGTGTTGCAGTCCCGAATCTTGGAGGCAGGCTGTGCCCAAGCTGCAAGCCCTGGGGAACGCTGGCCTGTGGGAACTGTACGAAGCATGAGGCTGGGTCTGCCAGCCATGCCTGGCCATTCCTAGGAACCTTGCCCACCCAGTGTGCCCAGTCTGTTGCTGACTGGGTGATTCGGAGGAGTCTGGACGGTCCCTGAGTTGACTGGGTTTTTTTTCTCTTTTGCAGAGGCAGAAAACAACCTACTCCATGTACCCGAAGGCTGAGCCCACACCCGTCACCTCATCAGCCCCCCCGGTCAGCACGCTCTATTCCCCACCTGTGGTACGTTCATGGGAGCCCCTGAATGGGAAGTGGCTGGACGTAGGCCACTTCCCTGGTGCAAGCCTGCCCTGCTTGGGTCAGATTTAATCCCTGTTCTGAAAGAAAAGATTTGCCCCGTGCAATCCCTTGCTCTTTCACAGCACTACTGTGTTTTCAGCAAGAAGGTCTGTACTGAGCCAGCATTTAGGTGCCTCCGCTGCTTCCAGTAGCTGCAGCATGTGCCTGGCTGAAGGAGACGGTTGTCCCCTTTCAGTCTCTTGCTGGTGCTCAGCACTGGTGGTTGTGCGTGGCCAGGTCCGAGCAGGACATCTGTGTGGGAGCTGTGGGTCTCTGGTTTCTCTGAACCGGATTTCCCTGTTTATCTCTTCCCAGAATTCCTCTGCTCCCTTGGCTGAGGACATTGACCCGGAGGTAAGGATCCAGGCTTTACCTAGTCTGTGGCACAGGCTCACTCCCAGCGGGGCTGCAATGCTCATCTTCCTTCTCTTTCTGTCAGCTGGCTCGGTACCTGAACCGCAACTACTGGGAGAAGAAACAAGAGGAAGTTCGCAAGAGCCCCACCCCGTCAGCACCTCTGTCCCTCACAGAGCCAGCTGCTCAGCCTGGGGAAGGCCACCCCGCCCCGCTCGGTGTTGTTGAGGTAAGAGAGGGCCTGGACCCGTGTCTGGCAGCTTCTGAGGGGTGAGGAGTGCCCAACTCCTTTGTTCAGCCCCGTCACGCAGCTCTGCAGGCTTGCTGCTGGCTCTCGGCACAGGAGAGTTGAGTCTGACTGGCTGCCCTGTCCTTCCAGCAGCAGTACCAGAACGGCGAGTCTGAGGAGAACCATGAGCAGTTCCTGAAGGCGCTGCAGAATGCGGTCACCACGTTTGTCAACCGCATGAAGAGCAACCACATGCGGGGCCGCAGCATCACCAATGACTCTGCCGTATTGTCCCTCTTCCAGTCCATCAACAACATGCACCCCCAGCTGCTGGAGCTGCTCAACCAGCTGGATGAGCGCAGGCGTACGTGGAAGCTGCCCAGCCGGGGGTGTGGGAGGGCATCCTGGGGAGGAGCGGGTGGCTGCCGGGGCTTCCCCCAGCACCGGGGTTCGGCATTCCCATGACACAGCCTCTCTGGAGAGAAGCCGGTGCAGTGTGCAGGGGTGGTCCGAGCGCTCTGTGCCAAGAGGGTCCCTGAGGCTGTCTCTTCCCTCCCCAGTGTACTACGAAGGCCTGCAGGACAAACTGGCCCAGATTCGGGATGCACGTGGGGCTCTGAACGCGCTGCGGGAGGAGCATCGGGAGAAGCTGCGCCGTGCAGCGGAGGAGGCAGAGCGCCAGCGCCAGATCCAGCTGGCCCAGAAGCTGGAGATCATGAGGCAGAAGAAGCAGGTGAGGCAGGGAAGCATTTCCAGGGTATCGGGAGCCGCGTCAGCCAGCAGGCCTGCCTGCACCTTGGGCCAGCCCAGGGCTGGCAGGGACGGCAGCCCTGGCAGGAGGGGATGCTGCGGTGTCCTGGCTTCTAGCCGTCATGGCCCTGTTCCCACAGGAGTACCTGGAGATGCAGCGCCAGTTGGCCATCCAGCGACTGCAGGAGCAGGAGAAGGAGAGGCAGATGCGCCTGGAACAGCAGAAGCAGACCATCCAGATGAGAGCCCAGATGCCAGCCTTCTCTCTGCCTTATGCCCAAGTACGGCTGCCGGGCCAGAGACCCTCCTGCCAGGTCCCAGGGGGCATGGCCTAAAGCTTGCTTTTCTTCCCTGAACAGCTCCAGGCCATGCCCGCAGCCAGTGGGGTGATCTACCAGCCCTCGGGGCCCACCAGCTTCCCTGGCACCTTCAGCCCGGCCAGCTCCGTGGAGGGCTCTCCCATGCACAGCGTATACATGAACCAGGCAGCGCAAGGGGGCACGGGGCCGTACACCGCAATGCCCGTCACAGGGACAGGTATGTCGGCGAGCTGATCCCACGTGGGTGGAGGCTGAGCGCAAGGTGGTTGCTTCAATCTCTGCCCTCTCTGCCCCAGATCCCAGCATGGTGAACGCCTACATGTACCAGCCGGGGGCGGGCAGCGGGCAGGCGGCTCAGCAGGGGCAGGCAGTGCCCACCACCACCCCGGCGTACTCGTCCTACCAGCCAACTCCAACGCAGGGCTACCAGGCAAGTGAGGGCAGCCTCCCCGTAGCAGAGCAGCTTGCGGCCAGCTGGGGTGTTCTGCGGGGCTGGCGCAATTCACCCCGTCTCAGTGACGGGATCTCTGAGCGGGAGGGAGAAGTGGCTGGTTGGTCCCAGATCTCTGGATCTGCTGCTCCTTTCACTGTGGGAGTGGGTTGGGGTCAGAGCCAGTTCTGGGCTCCCTGTGGTGCAGAGGGAAAAAGGCACCCTGGTTCCAGTGGAGTGGGGAGAGCGGTGCTGGTCCTGGGGCGTTGGTTTGAGATGAGCCATCGCTGCCTGCACCACCTCTCACCAGCCTCTCCTCCCCAGAGCGCAGCCTCGCAGTCGCAGAGCATCCCGGCCATCTCTCAGGCCCCCCAGTCAGGCGCCATGGGCTACATGGGCAGCCAGTCGGTCTCCATGGGGTACCAGCCCTATGGCATGCAGGTGAGCACTCCCTGCCACACGGGCCCCTTCTTGGGCACCTGGGGGGACAAGGTTGGGTGGTCTCCAGCCCGTGGAGCCTTCCTGGGCCTGTGCTGCCAGTGGCAGGGAAGGGGAGAGGCCTGGCGGAGGCTGTGGGCCTTCACCTCTGCCCTGCGGGCGCTGCGTGTCCCCCAGCCCCTCTGACAGCCGCCCCCTCGCTCCCGCAGGGCCTCATGTCTGCCCTGCCTGGTCAGGAAGCCGCGCTGAGCAGCCTGCCAGCCCAGCAGTCCTACCTGCCCGGGCAGCAGCCCCTCTACCAACATGCATGTTTGCTAACGAAGCCACCTCATCTGTTGCAGATGGCACCTGCTGGGGGGCCCCCCCAGCAGCAACAGCCCCAGCCAGCGCCCGCCCCCGTGCAGCAGCCCCAGGGCAGCGGAGAGGCCCAGCTCATCTCGTTTGACTGATCTCCGCCGCAGGGAGCTGGGGGGCGGGGGGAGGGATCCCGTGTAACACTACTCTTCATCCGGAATCACTTCTCTACTTCAACTACTCGTCCTGCCCTCTCAGCCCCCTCCGCATCTGTCCCTGGCCTGGGGGACGTGGGACCACAGGCTCCCAGCATCGGCTCCGCGGACCCAGCAGCAGGAGAGCAGCCTCCCACCCCGCTCCCTGGGGCCGCTTTCCTGCCTCGCCCCGCCCTGGCTCACCCGCGCCCCTCTGCCCTGGAAGCCTGCGGCCCCCGGGGCCGGGCAGGCGCCGGCCGGGAGCCCGGCCTGCGGGTCCC